TGGTGTCTCTCTGTCACTGCATGGGCCTCAGCGTCTTCACTTCCCACACCGTTATGTCTCACCTCTCCTCTTAAGGTGACTGAGGATTGAGTGCGGCCCACAGGAGGAGGTTAGGACACACGGGTGCCTCCCTTCCCAATGAGAAAGGGCAGCTGGGCCCTGGCAGAGCAGGGGGTTGGTGTCCCAGGAGGAGCAGTGACCTGGTGTTCTTGTCCATTCTCTGAAGGGGATGAGCTCTGTTTTCTTCAATAAAGGAGAGAACTGCATTGCAGCAGGCCGGCTGTTTGTGGAGGACTCCATTCATGATGAGTTCGTGCGGAGGGTGGTGAGTCCTGCCCCAGGGTCTGTGGGCTGCTGGTTCACCGGGACAGCAGCCTGGCTGGAGGGGGTTGGAGGAGGGGAGACAGGGCAGGGGTCAAGTGAGTCTGGGCTCCTCCTAGAGGACACTGCCCACGGGGGTCAGGGAACTCACAGTGGGAGCTGTGCTGAGTCTTCACTGGATTTTATTATTTCGCCAAGAAATAGCAGACCTGTAGCTCAAATTGACATCACCAAAAAGGGCCCGTCTTGGGTTGGCTCCCTAGAAGTGGAGCCTGGGGCAAGAATTCGGTGCATGTGGTTTACTCAGAGTGGACTCTTAGGTGAAGCCTGGAAGAAGAAGAGACCAGGGGAGGACCAGACAGAATGGAGCAAGGGCCTGGTCTCTGGTCAGCCTGGGTCTGACCGTGGACATGGGCCCTGGAGCACAAATCCCCCTACATAGGCATGCCCCTGGGGCCAAGTGGCCAGGCTGCGGGCCCCTGTGGCAGGTAGGCTTGGCTGTGGGCCGCCAGTAGGGGCCAGCAGCTCCCATCAGGTTCCGCAGCCGCCTTGCATGGCCTCGGGGATCTGGTGGGCACAGGATAGTGTCTTCCACCAGATTTATCCACTCAGCCACACCTGAAGAGCAGGCTTGATGCTGGCCTCGGACAGATGGGTGGTCCTGAGTCCCCTTGGGAGGTTTGTAATGCCTAGCTTCTCGGTTCCTCGACGGGTTGGCGTCATTCTCTCCAAGCAGCTCGGATATGGTGAGGAGTATGGGGCTGGCGGCACCAGCATTACCTTCTCACCACTTGGAGCCAGAGCAGGACATGACTCCTTCCTCACCACCTCTGTTAGAAAACACTGTGGGGTTGTCATGAGCCAGGCCCCAGCCATCCTTCATCCAGGCCATGATACCAGGGGTGGAGCAAGCTGAGGTTGGTTTAGCTTCCACGAAGGGCACCCCCCCGCCCCCAGGTTGTGGAGAGCAGCATCTGATCCCAGCAGGTAGCGGCAGGGATGCGGGAGAGACAACCAGCAACCTCCACACATGGTTTCAGACAGATGGTGCTTGAGAAGCCAGGGAAAAAGAGGGCCCGTGAGCGGAGGGGTGAGGGAGGGGTCCCTGGAGAGCTGGCGCTGGACCCAGGGTGGTGGCTCAGAGTCCGGAAGGAGTGGGGAAAGGAAGGACTTTCTGGGAGGGGCTGGAAAAGCTTTTGCCGTATAACAAGCCTCAACACAGAGTGGTTGGAAATGACAGCCCTGCCCTCAGCTCATGATTCTGTGGGCAGCAGTGGCAGTCTAGGCTGGGGTTCGCTGGGGCTCACGTGGGTTTGTCAGAGCTTGCCCAAGCATCTGCAGTGAGGCTCGGGGGCAGCAGGGCAGCAGGCAGCTTCGTGGGACAGCTGTCCTTGCCCTAGGGGCCTGTATTCTGCAGCATGTGCTGAGGCATGTTCATGTGGACAGTGGCAGGACTCCTGAGAGTAACAGCACAAGCTGAGAGGCTTCTTGAAATGCACGAAACATTGCTTCCATGCAATGGAAGCAAGTCACAGGCTGGCCCAGATTTAAGGGGTGAGGAAACAGACTCTACCATGTGATGGGAGGCACAAGCTCATCTTCCGTAGTTAGGGAGCTGGCCTGCCTGGCCAAGCGAGGCCCATTGCTGTGATGGGCCCGGCACAGGAATAGCAGGACCAGGATACAGACCCAGGGACTACTGGAGATAAAGTGGCAGTCATGGGTGGAGTGTGGCTGCGGGGACATAGAGCTGTGCACACAAAGTCCTGTCTGGGGGTCTTAAGGGAGTCATGAGACTTCCACAGTCGGGTGACTGCGAGGGCCATTGTCCCAGGGATAATTCTCAGGACAGTCACAATCCCAAATAAAGGAAGCGAGGCCAGTGTTCAGGAGGCTCAGTAGGCTGCTTGTCCTTTGTATCCAAGAGAGATTGGGGCGCAGTTTGGGTCTCCAGGACAGGAGCAGAGAATGAGGAACAAAAGCAACCGGGCTTGGCTACAGGGTGGAGACAGGACAGTCAGAGGCACTCAGTGGGCCTTGGTGGGAAGGGCAGAGGGGTGTCCCAGGTGCTCGAGTCACACCCGTGTCTGATTAGGGCTGACTGGGGGTGCAGGGTTTGCAAGATGTGAGATGCCCTGGCCTTGGAGGAGGAGGGTCAGCAGACTAGAGCCTTGGGCCCCTCCCCTCCACTTAATTTCTTTCCCACTTTAGCACCGGGACTATTGCAGCAGGGCTGGTGTATCCCACCCACCCCACATCCTGGAGTCCCCCAGACAAACAGTTCTTTCAGCTTCTTGATCCATGAGCCTGGTGCAGGACCAGAATCAGATACATGTTGTAATGAGCCCCATCTCCTCAACTAGTCAAATACACCAGCCTCTCTCCTCCTCACCCACACTCCTGTGCACCTCCATTCCCAGCCCATCTATTGCTGGGCTCCTGTCTCCTTGGAGACTTCTGTCCCTCTGCGCATAGGAGCCATCTGGGATTTCAGACTGGAAGGTGGATTTAGAGTCAGAATTCGGAAAGCCCTGAGGCTAGAATAGAGTGTGAACTTTCCTCAGGGGTCAGCCATGAGAGCTGAGTCAGGTGAGGATCATTGTCAGAAACTGCGGCAGAACAAGCCATGCCTGACTTGGAGGACTTTCTGCAGGTACAGGAGGTGCGGAAGATGAAGGTGGGCAACCCGCTGGACAGGGACACCGACCACGGGCCACAGAATCACCATGCCCACCTGATGAAGCTGATGGAGTACTGCCAGTGCGGCGTGAAGGAAGGGGCCACACTGGTCTGCGGTGGGAATCAAATCCCTCGGCCAGGTGAGTCACAGTGTGCCAGGCCCGCTTGGGTCAATTGAGGCAGCAGGTCCCATGGCCTCTGGTTCCCTGTCCAGCTGAACTGGAGAGAGCTGAAGGCCAGGTACCTGCACAGTCAGGCTGCAGCTCCATCTGGGACCTGGGATGGACTGGGCCTTGGCTATTTGGGCACCAGCCAGACCCGGGAATGGGATGAGCATTATTCAGTGCTGGTTTAGTCAGTATTGAACTGGACTCTGACTTGCCCTTACTGTCACCACAGCCTTGAGAGTCTCTCCCCGATAGATTTCAAGAGACTAGATTTTTTGATTTTCCTTCTACTTCACTGGCTGTTAACCTCTCAGCCGTTGCTCCACCTGTCCCCTCAATGGAGGTGCATCCCTGCCTATCCTTAGCTTGGAGCACCTCTCATGGGGGACAGTTCGCCTGCAGGATCTCTCCCCTGCTCAGACCCTACCAGATACAGGCCTCCAGGCTCCACCCCACCCAGAGCTCCTCACCACATAGCCAGCGGCACTGGACACTTCCACCTGGATGTTCCCCAGGCCCTTCAAACTCAATGGTCATTGCAATGTCCCAGCCAGAGTTGAGCCCAGACACACACACCTGCTGCTCCAGGACCCTCTGTCTGATCGAGTCATCCAGGCCAGAAGTGCAGCAGCCACAGGGATGGACTGTTGATGCTACTGCCAAGGGACAGGTGCCATGACTGTCTTCCTCACCCCTAGCTCCTTTGTGCCTAGACTGGGCATTGCACAGAGTAGGTGCTCAATTAATCTGATGACATGAAGGAGGAAAGGGAAGAAAGAATCCCTGACTCTTCTCTTTCTGTGACCCCCATTTAAATTATTTGCCTGATTCTGTAAAATCTGAGAATTGTCCCACTGTGGACCTCCTCTGCCTCCTGACCCTTGTGCGGGCTCCCTGCATCTTGCCTTGCTCGGTGTCACAGCAGCCTCCCAAGTGGCCTTGTGAGCCTGCTGATCCTTTACTCACACAGTTGCCAGGGTCTGGTGACCTCTCCTCCGTTAAGACCTCGTAGCAGTGACCCACCCTCCCGCAGTGCAAGTTCAGACTCCTTGACCTTACAGCCAGAGTCCTTCATGATCTGTGCCTGACTTGCCCTTGACCTGTACTGCAGCCGCATTTCATTCTCTCCAGAGGTTTCTAGTGCTTTCCTGGGCTCCATGCATTTGCTGCTGCTCGACTTAGTGGAGGCTTTCGAGTGTCCCCACCTGGAGAGCTCCTGCTTCTTTAGCTCACAGGACATCCAGGACCCAGGCATGCCCATGTCACAGGGTGCCGGGCACCACACACCTCAACAGAGCTCTCGTGACCACTGCACTGCTGCTGTCACTGTCCACTTACCCTCTTCCCACTCCTGCTGGACTGCGAGTTCCATGAGGCAGATGGGGTGGGAGGAGCATCACCAGGGCCCTTGCAGGGCAAGGATGGCCGGGTTCAGGGTTGGTGGGATGGAGGCCCTGTGCTAGGAGCAGGGCTAGGGAGCCAGCAAGGGTTAGAGCAGCACCAGGGAACCAGGAATAGTGGAGAGTCATCACCCCACCCTGGAGAGGGTATGAGAAGGAGCAGAATTCCTACAGCCCAGTGAGGGGCAGAGCATGTAATGGGGCTGCTTTCTGGTGGCCCAAGGACCAGGAGACCAGCTCTTAGGGTCTAGAGGGGATAGGGGAGAGTACAAGGTAGATGGGGAGGGGACGACAGAGGGGTGGTCAGCATGGCTCACATGCCCCGGCAGAGGTGCTGCAAGACTGCGGAGTAAACACAGGCCACATAAACCACTGTGTGTGTACATGAGTCACATTTTCACAATTGTAATCAGTGTTAAAATGTCATTTATAAATGTATGAAAAATATTGCATATTTTATTAGTTAAATAACTTTGTAATGTTTTTTGAAATTTTCTATTTCTCTAAAAACTAGAGTGAGAAAATTCCCGGTCTCTTGATTATTCCTAAGTCAGGCAGGATTGAATTTCAGTGAGGTCAGGCAGGATTGACCTCAGTGCAGCAGGTCTCAGGGCTCTGTCTCTAGAGAAAAGAGAGAGAAAGCATTTCAGTTGTCAGAAGTGCATCTGCCCTGGCAACCAGGGCCTGTAGGGGTTGCATCCAGGGTTGGGATTAGGTGGTCCCTTCTTGACTGGAGAGCATGAAGTTGGGCCTTGGTAGGGACCCCAGAAGGGCAGAGGGAGGGAGTCCCAGGAGGTCCAGTGTCCAGAGCTCCTCCCCTCTCACCTCCTCCTACTCCATGGGTTGTAGCCACCAGGGTCAGTGGCAGAGCTGCCTGGGAGGTTTCACCTGCCAAACAATCTAGGAGGTTGTAGATTAGCTGTCACCAGAAAAGCTCCAGTCTTTGCTTTGGCCATGGGTTCTGGCACTAAGATTGGACTTGGGATCAGGTCTCAGCTCTGTCACCTGCCAACCTGCAGCCCCATTTCCCTCAACAGCACTCCTTTAGAAGCATGGTGAGACCCACATCAAAGAACATGCCAGGTGGAAGAGCCACCTGCAGCATGGCGACACCCATCACATGGGTGCCACGACCCGGCGCTTATGTCAGGTCATCTGCAGGTGGCTGCCCAGGCCCTGCTGACGGGGAGGCTGGACCATGGGGCACTGTGTCTCCCATGTACAGCGGGTCTCCATCTCTCTTGCAGGGTTCTTCTTTGAGCCAACTGTTTTCACAGATGTGGAAGACCACATGTTCATAGCCAAGGAGGAGTCCTTTGGACCTGTCATGATCATCTCTCGGTTTGCTGATGGGTAGGGAATCCTGCTGATGTCTCAAGGGCCCTGACTCTCTCCCACGTGTTACTGGGGTCCTCGTGTGGGCTTTGGGAGGTAGTCTATGGGCGGTGAGGAGGAGAACTCAGGCAGGGTGCAAGCCATCGACATCCCGCCTGGGCCGCCTGCTGAGTCTCCACACCCCTGAGAAGAGACCTGGGGCTTTGAGTCCCCCTGTGAGCAAAGACAGTTCCCTTCCCTGTCCTTGTCCCTTGCCACGTGCTCCAGCATGTTTCTCGCAGCCCACTGGACTCTGTTCTAAGGTCCGTTACCGTGCACTAAACCCCCCACACTGAGTGGCTTGGAATAATCAGAGATTTATTTTACTCATGGTCTAGGTTCAATGAGGCGAACCCATCTCTGCTCCATGCAGTATCTGGCCTCAGCTGGGGCGACAGAGTGGCTATCCTCACGCTGCCGGGGGTCTCCCAGGAGGCTTCCTCTGCGTGGCAGCCTCGGGGTTGCCAAGGCACCTGGTTCCCCCTCGGAGGCCAGGTGAAAGCCAAAAGGCTCTTTATAATCTGGCTCTTCAGAATCCCAGAGCATCCCTTCCACCACAGCCTAGTGATCAAGCAAGTTACCCAGGCCAGCCTGGGCTGGAAGGGAAAACTGTACTCCACTCACACTGAGGCCACAGAGGCCCATGCTGATACTTCTCAGGCTTACCCCTTGTCTCCGTAGCACCTTGGAGCAAACTGCAAAATCGTGCCTCATCCTTACATTTTACTATCCCACTATCAAAAAAACCCCAGAAATTATCGTCATATGTCAATGGCATTAGAATAAGAGACTTCAGTGCCACCTAGCCAATAAATATGGTTGTAGTAAGTCTCCAGATCACTGATGTCTGGTGAATGCCCAACCTGCCAAGGGCACATGTGGGTCCTTCTGCATGTGAGGACCCAGTGGCTCCTCTCTGGGCCCCTGCTCCCAGTCTGTGGAATAAAAAGCTCACCCCATGATCCAGGAGCCCCTGTGGTGGCTGCCTGCACATGGGCCCCTGCCCTTCCTCCTCACTCTCAGCCCAGCCCAACCGCATCCTGCCCCGGTGCCGTAGCCCGGCACATTTTCTCCTCGGAAGGTCGTATGCAGCTGGGGTGTAGAGCAGGCCAGGCTCTCATCTGCACCTCCCTCAGGGAGTTCTTCCTGGACTTTCCCTCCAGGGACGTGGACGCCGTGCTGTCTCGGGCCAATGCCACGGAATTTGGCCTGGCTTCTGGTGTCTTCACCAGGGACATCAACAAGGCCCTGTATGTCAGTGACAAGCTCCAGGCAGGCACTGTGTTTGTCAACACGTACAACAAGACCGATGTGGCCGCTCCCTTCGGAGGATTCAAACAGTCTGGATTTGGCAAAGATCTAGGTAACCTACTCCTGCCTGTGGGGTTGCTTTCATTTATTCATTCAGCAAACATCCGTTCAGAACCACTTAGTGCCAGGTCCTATCGCAGATGCAGGGATGTAGCCTTGAACATGATGGCTGTCAGGGCTCACTTCTTACTGGGAGGGAACATGTGACAAGTCCATGAGCAAGATGCTTGCAGAGAGGGGTGGTGCTGGGAAGAAGGCAAGAAGAGTGGCCTGGGGGAGACACTCCGGCCAGGAGGCAGTGGAGGCCTCTCTGGTGTGGTGGCATCTGTGCTACCCAGACCTGCATGGCAGGGAGGAGTTGGCCATGAAGACCCAGGGGCCCGTGTTTCTAGCTGAGGGTTTAGCAGGTCCTTGGGGGAACCAGTTTTGGTTGTGGAGTTGCAGAGAGGCCAGAGTGGTGGGAGTGGGCCAAGGGGGAGCAGGAGGGAGGAGAGGAGGCCTGAGAGGCAGGGAGGGGCCAGATAGAAGGCCCATGGGCCATGGTCAGGGGCTCAGATTGCGTCCTTAGTGTAAAGAGGAGCCATGAGACCGAATGTACCGCCCAGGTGAACACCATGGGTGTTGCGAGTCTCCCAGTAGAGATGAAGTCACTGAGGTGGCAGCAGGCGGGGTCCCCCAGCACACAGCGCAGGCCCCCCAGTGCTCCGTCCGCTGGGTGGAATGGAGTTCTGCTCCAGCCCTCTCTCCCTGGGCTGCTCCAAGCCTTGGGCCTCATTCTGCTCTCTCAGCAGTGGGGACTAGACAGGTCTTATGGGCAAGCTTGGCAGGGGTGGCTGGCAAGGTCCGGGGGAGCCGTATGCTGTCTCAGAGTTCCCACCTGTCTCTCCAGGCTCCTGTTCCAGCCCAGAGACCACAGGGAAGGTCATGCTGAGGCTGGGGGTCAAAGGGTGGTCACTGTTTCCAGTTTTCTCTCCTCCCCCTGCCCCCATCTTTCAAGCCCTGCAGAAGCCCCCAAGGGTGCCTGTGAGAGGGGCCCATGTGTGCCCACAGAGCTGGACTCACATGCACGTATAGGCTGGACACTCCTGCTTCCTGTGTCCCTGTCTGCCTCCTCTTCCCGCCTTCTCCCAGGCCACCTTCCTGGTGTCCACCATGGGAATCCATGAGGCCCACGGCCACCCAGGGAAGGCTATGGCTGCCAAGTCCCCACAACATGATCTGAGCCCCTTATGAATCCTCCCCGAGTTCCCCTGGCTCCCTCCCAACCCTGGTCCCCGTGTCCCACTGAGAGGACCAGCACCCTCCTGGGACAGGCCCACAAGCCAAGCCTTCCAAGAGCCCGCCTGGGCAGGCCCAGGACTTCAGAGGGACAGGGCAGTGGCATTTGGGGCAGTGCCACTCCTGGGGCCAGCCAGAGCTGCTGGGGAGCTGTCAGACAGCCCGAGGCTTCACACTTGTCATGGGGCTAAGACGCACCAGCCACATAGCACTGCCAAGGTCTGGGGCCTCAGGGCCCTGCAAGGCATCTCCTTTTCCCAGCCACAGCTTGATGCAGACATAGCTGGGGGCAGCCACGGGAGAAGAGATGGGCCAGTGAGTCCGGGCAGTAACACCAAGTCCTCCACCCCCTTCCGCCTGAAGGGGCTTCCCGCTGTCCAGGCAAGGCGGTGGGAGCTGGGGAAGATTCTTAAATGGCTGCCTCAGATTGGCTTTGTATTCTGGGAGTCCTGGCCCACTATCCACTGTCAGGGATAACCTGGGTAAGATTCATGACCTCGCTGGGCCTCGACTTCACACCTGGAAGTGGGGTGAGCCAGAGCTGCCCTCACACGGTTGCTGAGGAGTAAGACACTTGCAGCCCCCAGCAGTGGTTCCTGCCTGTGGTGGCAGCTGCTGTGACCTTTGTGGTGTCTTACAGGAGAGGCAGCTCTGAACGAGTACCTGCGGGTCAAGACGGTGACCTTCGAATACTGAAGAAAGGTCTTTGTGAGAAGAAAGTCCCTGCCCCTCCCTGGCGGCTGGGCCTCTCCCTCTTGAGCCTGGGTGCACAGCACCTCCCACCTGGGGGCTAGTGGAAGCCCTCCTGCCTGCACCCCACGTCTGCATCTGGGACACCCTCTGTCCAGTCAGCAGCAGCCCTTGGCTGGGTGAGGAATGCCCCTCCCAGGGAGAATAAAGCTTCTGAAGAGAGACCATCCACACCTCCGCGTCTCTCTGCTCCACCCGTGGGTATTCCTGGGTGGGCCTGGAATTTGCGGTCACCTGGGCATGACGGTGCTGCTTGGCCTGGGAGAGCCAGACACCTGGGGGGAGAGACAGGAGGAAATGGGTGTGGGCCATCTCAGCCCCAAAGAGCAGAAGCTGTGACAGAGTCGGGGTGCAGGAGGTTTGAGGGTAACCCCTAGGAAACTGGTGGGAAGATGGGGATGGAGCTGGGCGAGCCCTGGACTGGGAGGCAGCTCAAACTCCCTCAGCAGATGGGGGCCGGGCCCTCGCCCCTGCTCTGTCAGTGTGGCCGTGCTCTCAGCTGGTAGCCAGCCAGAGGGCCTGCAGTAGAGGGCCGGGCCCAGCTAGGAATGCCAGGCAGAGCTCGTCTTCCATCCAACACGGTGTCTCCTGTGTACCTTTATGGCTTCTCCTTGGCCCAGGGACCTGCCCTATAGCTCTTTCCTGTGCCCTCTCCCTGTGGGAGCTTGCGGCCCTCCTCTCTGCACCCTCATCCTGTAGGCACCAAACACTGCAACCTGACCTACCTGCTGTCACCTCAGTTTCCCCACATGGAGCTCTCTTCTTGGCATCTCATCTCCCCACCCACCTGGCTCTGTCTCTCTGGGTCCCACTGCAGGCCCCTCTGTCCCTCCCCACAGGCCGAGGCCACGCTGAGAGCTCTAGGCCCAGCCTCTGCTATGTCTGGGAACAACTTCAGGCCTCTCCGTGCAGCATGCTGCCCTTCAGAGGCCTGTGAGTTCCCCGTCTCCTCAGGGATTCCCCATCCTGCTTTCCTTTATGATTCCTGCTCTTCTAGGAAGCGTGTGCTTCCATAAAGGCCCATCCAGACCCCGCCGTTCGAAGGCTGCTGGCAGCGATAGTAACAGGCAGTGTCGAGCTCCATACTGGCTACACTTCTGTCCCTTGAGCACCAGCTCGATGCCAGGCAGGGCTCCAAATCCTCCATGCATGTTTCTCTTGCTGCTCATGATCCCAGGGAGGCAGGAGGTATTTTTATCATCATTTATAAATCAGGAAATGGAGGCAAAGAGACATTTAACAGCCCAAGGTTACATAGCTACTGTGAAATTGTGTTCCCCTTACTTCCCAAATTAGGAGGACATTGAAGCCCCCTCTGCCTGCAGAGTAACTCACCCCTCCCAGGTGCCGAGTCTCCCAGAATAGGCCGTGGCTGGGGGTGGCCTGGCAGAGGTGGCTGTGCTCCTGGGCACCCACACCCACCATGGGAGAGGCTCTACTCTCCCATGGCCACCCCACCCAACTGTGAAGCAGGCTTTGCTGGGGTGAGGTTGAGCTGCTCACACGGCCTTCCTAGAAGTCCAGGAGAAACCCACCAACTGCCACTCCATGCAGTTCCTCAGAGCCTGAAGCCCAGGCCCAAGCCAGGCCCACTGGGAGTGTCCCCTTCCCTCTTCCCACCTGCCTCCTGCGGCAGGGCCGGCTCAGACCGCAGAGTGCTTCTGGCACGTCCATCTTGCTGTCTCACATCTTGCTGTCTACAGGCAGGAAAGAATGTGCCTTCACTTCCACCTAAAGCCTTCTGGGCTCTGTTGCTAGCTCAGAATTGGTCTTCTACCACGATGCTTGGTGCTAGAGACGGCAGCTGCTCGGAGAGAAGCTGTTCCCGTCTCTAGCGGTGGGACTTGCCCTAGCACGCACCGCTTATACCAGAACAGATGAGTCCATGTCAACCTTTTCCTGGGTTCCCTTTGTTCTGCCTCAAACACTCCCAGGGCTGGGGTATCCACGGCAGCGTCCAAGCGCATGCGGCTGTCTCTCATCCCAGTCAGGTCTCTCACACTCCTCCCAACAAGAGGTGGAAGCCTGCCTGGTGTCTCCGTAAGGTCAGCCCTGGCTTCCCTGTAAACATCCTTCGTGACAGAAGAGCAGGCAAAGCCTCAAGCACAGGCCCATCCAACTCAAACAGAGCCAGGAAGCGCCTCTCCCCACTCTTCAGACACAGTTTTAGCCAGGGTGCCCACTGCAGTCACGCTAGAGACCTCTGGTGCAAATGGGCAAGACTGGACCCAGCTTTCCAGCTTTCTTCCCCTTCCCATAATTCTTTCTCCCCCTTTCCATAATTCTCCTGAAAGTGTAAGGTAAGGACATAAGATTTCGTTATCCCCCAATTTCCTGCCTTTGTCCCCTTCTTTCTTAAGTCATAACCTCTGCATTTTACTTGGACACACAGCTGCCCAGAAGAAAGGCTGGATTTTCCTGCATTCTTTGCACTAGGTGTTGGTCAAGGAACCAAGTTCTTGTCAACAGGATCCAGGTGCAAATGATCTGTGCGGTTTCTGACATGCACCCTGTAAGGAGGGTCATGCTGTTGCCCTCCTTTCCCTCCCCGGGCTGGCTGGAAGCAGACCCAGTGACACGGCGATGGGCATTGCCCAACCCTGCGAATGTGGGCAGTGCCTGGGCCTGGAGGCGGGGGGCGGGGGGCAGTGGGCAGCTGCCCGAGATGGAGGAAGCCGAGCCCAACATCATGGAGGCTCATCTTCCCCAAGGCGACTCACCGCCAGGCTATTCGGTGGGAGATAAGCTTTTACAAACTTTCGTGGCCTTTGAGCATATTTATGTCTCGCCTGTTAACAGAAGCATTTAAGGTGGTTTAGAAGTATAATAAACAAAAATATGCATGAGCAAATGGGGGCTGAGAGCAAAGTGGTGGTGAGTCAAATCCAGAGTGTGGTCCGTATCCAGACTGCAGGCTGCAAAACTGCATACCCTTCTAAAGCTGGGCCACAATTCAGCTCAGAGCTTTCTGGCTGCCAGGAGTGCAAGGACACCTGACTGGTGACCTAATTCACGGTGTCCAGATGCCAGAAACAAATTAGTGTTCTGGAGGATAACTGCTCCTCGTAGAGATAGTAATCCATCTCATGAATCCTCCTTAAAAATGTTTTACAGGCGGGGCACGGTGGCTCACGCCTGTAATCCCAACACTTTGGGAGGCCGAGGCGGGCGGCTCATGAGGTCAGGAGATCGAGACCATCCTGGCTAACATGGTGAAACTCCATCTCTACTAAAAATATAAAAAATTAGCCGGGTGTGTGGTGGGCACCTGTAATCCCAGCCGCTCAGGAGGCTGAGGCGGGAGAATGGCGTGAACCCAGGAGGTGGAGCTTGCAGTGAGCTGAGATTGCGCCACTACACTCCAGCCTGGGCGACAGAGCGAGACTCCGTCTCAAAAATAAAAAAAAAAAAAGAAAAAAAAAGAAAAAGTTTTATAATATAATGACTGCTGTCTTATGTGACTTCAACCTAGGGTGGCAAGTCGCACACAGCTGTTTCTTATGACCTTCCCCAGTGTGACTGAACGCACATTAAACCCCCGCCACTACCAGCAGCTCACCAGGGCAGGGAGTGTGTGCATGGGGGGCAGCACGCTGGATCCAGGGCTCTAGTGCTCTGCTGATCTGACTTCATCCAACTGGGATAGGGTGAGGAGGAAGTAGAATTCACCAGAAGTCTTTCCACGGAGAGCTCTGCATTTACCTAGAACATTCTGATGTGGTGAAGCTGGGACGGTGGGACATTCAGAATCAAAGGCTGGCCACAGACTTGCTCTAGGTAATAAAGGGAAGGAGAATCCTAAGGGAGGTGGAAAAGAGAGGAGGTGGGACCCAGCAAGGCTGGTGCTGGAGGGAGGGAAGGGGAGTAGGACCCTCCGTGGCAGAGTGGAGACCTGTCTTTGGGGAGAATATGGGACTGTGTGATGGAAACTCCCTTCCTTTTCTCCCCTCCAAAATCAGCAGTTCCTCTTTGTTCCCTGTTCTTTGTGGGAATGGCCCCTTTTGGGCAAGCTCAAAGAGGAGCTGATTTCTGTAGCTCCAAAGAAACAAACAGGAGCAGACTGCAGAGCAAGGCCCGCCACATCTGGCTGGACTGCACATCCATTGGGCATCCTCCACAAAGGCTGCTTCTCCCTCTGCCAACACACAGTGGACATGTGTAGAACCAAGAAATTAATCCTTGGTGTCATAAGCTACTGAGAGCTCAGGGCTGTGTTGATGGCTGCAGTGACAGATTCTGGGCATCAGTTATAATGTAGTTATAAAGTTTTGGAGCAACCAAAACAGCAAACAGTAGAGGAAGAGTTAAAACAATGATTCCCAACCTTAACTACCCCAATATCTTCATTCTACTCTCTTTATTTATTTAGACAGTCTCTGTCACTCAGATTGGACCGCGGTGGTGCAATCTCAGCACACTGCACCCTCCCTCTCCCGGGTTCAAGCGATTCTCCTGCCTCAGCCTCCCGAGTAGGTGGGACTACAGGTGTGCGCCACCACGCCTGGCTAATTTTTGTATTTTTAGTAGAGATGGGGTTCACCATGTTGGCCAGGCTGTTCTCAAACTCCTGACCTCAAGTGATCCACCCACCTTGGCCACCCAAAATGCTGCGATTATGGGCGTGAGCCACCGCTCCTGGCCTCATTCTACTCTCTTTAAATCCTCTAATGAAATTCACAGATCATATTACCAACACATTATCTAAATGATATTACTTCAATATAAATGAGAAATAAAGAACAGAAATTTTAAAATAAGATAATTCATGCTTCACCAGGTAGATGGTGGGAAAGTTCCAGTTGCTGTCAGGCTCTGGAGCACCAGCTTGAATTCAGATTTTATTCACAGGAAGCTCAGAACCTGGGATTCAATTACAAAGTAGCTGAGGGCTAATCAGGGCTGTCCTGGGTTGC